CAAACAAAAATGAAGATTTTAATTAATTTTTGTTTTCTTTGTCGATTATATTTATCGATAAGTAAGATTTGATGTCTTTATGTTTTGATAGGTTGCATTATTTTATTTTCTTATTAACTTGGTATTTGATAACAATATGCTGTGCGAATTTTTCACACGGGCCTACTAGTTGTACATAATCCATTTCCCCGTCGGAAGCAGCCTTAGTGCGCCCATCGAAGAATTAGAAGTATCGTTTGCAGCCTTTTGTTGATATCAAACCCTTCAACGGCAAGAAAGTGGAGCTTCCCCTCGGAAGGGGTATCAGGTTCGGCCAAGCACACTCCCTCCACACCTGGGCCTCCTGCCACACCTGTCCTCGCCGAGGGGGGGAGGAGGGGAGGACCCAAATCGAAGCCCGGGTTGGCGAGGTTTCTTCATTCAAAACTAGGGACGCCTTGAGGAATTATTCGAGTGAACATAATTTTTAATTCCGTTCCAGATAAAGTTTTTTACTTTCACTTACGTATATATGTAATATATAGTAAGGGTAAGTATTGCGATCGAGAAAATTTTGGAATCTGAGTTTTCAACGGAAATACACGTTTTGAGGTACCCTGAGTCGAAATAACCAATTCTCGAAAAATGGTCTGTGTGTTTGTATGTTAGCAGTCTAGCTCAAAAACGAAAAGCCGTACGAAACTGATATTACGTATTTAAGATAGGTATATGCCTTAGATATGACAGCAACTTTTTCCTTAAAATCGGCTAACCGGAAGTGCCACTTTATATCAACGCTGAAATACATTTTTATAATTTTCTCAAAAAAGGCTCTAACGATTTTGATTAAACTCGGTGTATCAATGTATAATGAAGTAATCTTTAATACCGATTAGGTCTTATCCTCATTGATGTCCCTTTACAGGGATTAAATGCCCAATGTTCATATACGTCTTCCTCTAAAATACCTTTAATATAGTTTATATTATAATGTTAATCATTTCAAATTATTCAGAGTTACGAAAAAATGCTAAATATAACTTTTGAAAGAATTTGATAAGTTTACGGTTTTGGTTTTTTAAAAGTTTACGGAATTTTCTAAAAAACAAAAAAAAATTCGTTAAAGTCGGACAATTAGGAGGAAAGATATGGTCTGTAGCTTTTTTTTTAATATGTTCTGCTTCAAAGCTTATATCTTTTGTTTTGGTTTTTGAATTTTGTTTTAGTATATTACTAATGATTAAAAAAAAGTTTAGTACAATAATTGGAATCACCTTTAATTTTGTTTTATTTTTAACTTGCAAGGTAATGATACTTTAGATTGTTTAGATGCTTTAGATTGATACTTAAAATGATAAAAACAGATTTTATCTCGGAAGAGGCGAAAATTTGGATAAATTTAAAATATACTTTTTTAAATGTTGAGACTAAAAAAAAAAACTTTTTTCTACTGATATTTAATAAAGTATCTTTCATAAGAAATAGGCACCTAAATTTATATCTTTTTCACCGTTCTATATTTCAACACTGCAATCACCATCTCCGGAATCAACTTACTCGCTGTCTGCATAGATAACTTTTTCAACTAAAAATACCACTAAAATGACATTATTAAAAAATGTTGAAATTGGAGTTGGAGTCATTCTGTGGTTTATAAAAGCAAAGAAAGTTGTGTGGTTTATAAAAGCAGATGGAGTGACTAAATTTTTATTGCCTACCGTCGATATATTAAATAGACATTTTGTAATTATAATGGTCTTAATGACTTGTTATCTATAAGCTTTAAGGTTTATCTCTGTTTAAAATGCATTTAAAACAATTTTATAATAGCCCAGCATTGCCAGAAAGTAATTGCTATTCAAAGTAGAGCGGTAAGTGAAAGTTGTGTGTTGCGCGCACCAGATTTTTTTTATCATTGAATAAAAGACATTATTGAATACCTATAATTTATCTGACTTGATAAGTTATGCTATCAATGAAGTATAACTTGTGTTCTCAGGTGCAAAACCTAGCAGCGCATTGGGTTCTAATTAGCTAATTAGGGTATGATTGCTAATATATCACACGCTCGGGCGGTCCGCTACATGGCGTTGGCTGTGTATTGTGTATTGATTGATTGCTAATGTATTAACCTACTTACATATTCTACTGATCAGCTCTGATATCAAATGTAAACGGAAATATTGTGTGGTTATGATAATCACACATCCATTCTTAATTTGAATAAGAGTCGAATCGATTACATTATGTTTAATGTGATGATAAATATCTGAATGTTTAAGTAGTTTCTGTGCTCGTGGGTTTACGGGATAACTTTAATACGAGATATGATCCTGGTATCAAATTCTTTTAAAATTTATATGCGTTCATTATTATATAATGAATAAAATTATTCAGTGCCCCGTATGTTGCTGACATAGCCCAAATTAGATACCCATCCTTTATAATAAACTCGATCTCTAGCTTCTATTTTTTTTTTTTAACTTTCATTGAGTATTAATAGAGTCTGCCACACTGAAGGGCATTGGTACTAGGGCTATAGTATTCATTCACACAATATTTTCATAAGAAAGGAAAAATATATATATATATATATATAAATAAAAAGATAAAGTAATTTACAAGATAATTAAAACAACAGATCAGCCGAATAATAACAAAACAAATAAAACACATTCACACCTATATTATTACAATATTTACATTGGCCCAGGGGACTCCGAATCAAGCTTTGTCCCCCAACTGTGGAAGCCAAGGCAGGACTCCAGGAGATCCCAGGGCTTCTCTCTCAGCAGCGTCACTGGTATAGTAAGCCAGTGGAGGCTGATGGAGGGCACTAGAGTAACAGACGCTCAGGACATGAGTGAAGAATCTGGCCAGTGCCAGTACTCCAATATATACATTTTTACAAAAGGTCGCGGGGCCGCTGCCGTTTTAACCTCCGAGGAGGATTGTAGGATTGCTACAGGATTAGGACGATGAGTGAGATTCTGGTTAAATTTGGAAAATTTGTCTGGGATTAGGTCAAGTACAAATGGGATATTAAGGTCATTGTGTAGGGTTTTATTGGTTACATAAAAGGGAGCATCGACTATTGTTCGAAGAATTTTAGACTGGAAGGATTGAATGCGTTAGATGTTAGAAAGTTTTGCTGTCCCCCACAGTTCGAATCCTTAGGTCCAGATAGGTTTCAGGATTGTCTTGTAGATTAATAGTTTGTTTTCAACTAAAAGTTGAGATTTTTTATTGAGTAGTCTATATAGTTGGCCATATCGTCGGTTAAGCTGTTGTCTTTTAAGTCTGGTATGTGGGTTCCATGTTAGTCTTTTGTCTAAAAGGTACCGAACTGTGTCGGAGAGGGGAAGTGGTATGGCGTTGAAATAAACTGGTGGACACGACTTGCGCCGAAGGGTGAAAGTGGTGTGTTTGGATTTAGATTCATTTACTTGGATGCGCCACTTATTACTCCAGTGTTCAATAAGAGAGAGGTGACTTTGTAGGTTAAAGGATGCTGTTTCGAGATCTGAATTAGAAGATAGGATGGCAGCGAATGTTGACAGGAGAGTTTCAGGATGAGTAAGAATATCAGCGGTAAATAGAATATAAAGGATAGGACCCAACACGCTCCCTTGAGCTTCTATTAACACCGATAAATTACGAACAAATTAGATTCTCGATCAGAATGAAAAAGTTCCCATGACTTTTTCAAGGATAGGCCGGTCATTAGCGTGTTTGAACATTACTTTCATTGCTGATTATACCAAAATGTAACTCAAAAAAATTTTAGCTAACAGGCAGAATAAATATTTTGTAGGTAAGTAAAAGATAATCATGGGTATGCACATATCAATTCAAAGATAATAAACCCATACTGGACCCTACATTTTTTATTTTTTTTTTTAGCCCCACTCAAAAATAAACGATTAGACCCGAATAGTCTTCGTACACCACTGATACACCACAAACTTATCCTTTTGACCACATAAGATAACTGGTATAAACTCATAATTAAATAAACGTTTATGTGTATTAGAAGATATTGTGTATTTATAGAATCAAACCCGAATTTCAAATTATTGACTGAGTAATAATATATCTAATAAATGGAATAATTGAGAAAAATGAATAATATCATATCGGATCTTTAATTAGCTCTTTTGATTAGGCTTTGCAGCCATAGAGAAAAAAAAAATCATTTTAGGCCTAAGTTTCAAACCTTTATCAGGACCACTCGCTTGGAGGATATTCTAATATCCAGCCATTCATCTATATCATTTTTGTAATATAATGGAGGTAATTTACCGTATTACAATTTAAGAAGAAATTGGTCTGGGGTGCGTTCAATAATTAACACTATATATAATAATGGTATTTTATTGCATTTGCGAACCTTTCGACCTAAGTTATAGGACTTTTCATCTGGCACAACCGGATGAAGTTAGGAGACTGATGTGATGGATTAATACTGATCATTCTCCTAACTTCTTCCTGCAGTGGTAGATGAAAGGCCCTGATGAAGATCTACAACTTAGGTCAAACGTTTGGTTGGCCTAAGAATATTTGTTGAAGAGTAATGCTTCCGGTAATGTATTTAAAATTTAACTGAATATTAGAATCTTTTCTTGTTATGACATGAGGTTGTAACTAAACATACAAACGATTGAATAGTGAGTAAATATGAAAAAAAAAAAAAAGATTTGACGATGAAAACATGAAAATTCTAATGACAGTAAGTAGTTTAATGAAATGTACAATATAGTTCGTCTTAGTTGATGAGGATGTGGGCTAAATAAATTTGAAAATGAGATTGAATAAATGCTAATGCAGAAATAAAATGAAGCATATATACACGAAAGATAAAATTTATATTCTAATAGAAGATGATGAATCTATGGATGAGGAAGAGATGATGATGACAGCTAATAGTGATAGTGGCACTAAGCTAAGAAGATGGGACACAAGGCAGCTAAGTTGCTATGCTTACAACTGCTCCACCGTACGATACTGGGAGGATAACTTACTGTATAACTTACTGAACGCAGAATAGAATTCGTTAACCGATAGCAGGGTGTCTCCGTCGCTGTCGTCGTACGTCAGCATGTCGCTGAGGGAGCAGCCCTCGGAGAGCTCGTTGAGGTGCTCTTGGTCCGAGATCTGAAACAGGCGAAATCCATTAATTACAACCAGGAATTGAACTCATCTTAGCTGAACTTCATCGTTTTGTGCCATCATTTTAAATTATATTACATTTTAACTCCATAATAAAATGTAATAAAAGGAACCGATTAAACGTGGGACTTGAATGAAAGGTGAGTTATGTGAGGAACGCCCAGAAGGGATTCGGTTGGCGCAAGCTGCGGCTTTAACATTTTTGAGGGGAGTACATGTTTACAAGGTTATGAATTTTGGAGAGATGCCTATATTTACGGAGTTATGGAAATTTTTGGAGGGGAACATACTTTTGTGGGGTTTCCATAGGGGGGAACATTCAAACCAAGGAACAAAGAGAAAAAATAAATTAAATATTTGTTTTTATCTATATAATTTTATTTCTGGCATTAGGACTCAAAACAAATCCTATTTTTTATAATGTACTTGTCAACATGCCACTGGAAAATGAGTTAAAACTGAATCCGAACCGCAAAAATAAAACTTGATCTTAAACAGTTTAAAAATAAAGAAACTTCATACTTTTATTACCTTTAAAAACTGTCTTAATCTAAGGACAATATTTTTATTTATTCTTCTTTAATTCTCAAATCTTTTGTACTGGAAGGTAATGTGCATTGGCATGCTGGACAGTAATCGCTCTTAGACCTAGAATCGCTAGACTCATCAGATGGAGAAATTAAATTGTACTTCCATGATTTATTCTAAGAATTTTTACAATTCTACTTTTTTTTTCGTCGTTTTAAAGAACAAGACAATAATACATTTTTTTCAGAGGTGTAAGGTGCACCGTTCTTTAGGGGAATGGGCATCTATGTGGGGTCTCTCGAAATTCGGTTTATTTTATATACGGTCGAAGATAAAAACCATTATCTATCAAAACCAGAGAGTGTATTTATGTTGGAGTTTCGACCGTAGATGTACTTTCCAATATGCGGAAATATATCAAACTCGAATTAAAAATACTACATATTATCAACAGGTTATTTTTAATAAATAATAAACATCTTCATTTTACTTTCCTCATACGTCTGAATTTACTGAAAATCAAAAGAGAATAGGTGCTATCTGCCATAAGGTGAAAATTAACGCAGGATACTTAGTTTCCATGTAAAGGTAGTACAAGTTTTTTAAAAGTTCTTTCATGTGGGTAAGATTTTCGGTAATAGGAGTATTTTTTTCCATCTGTGCTAAATATGCTAAAAGGAGGATCTTTTAGCGCCCACGCATTGAAATAACGATCAACTAACGAATTAGTGCATGCGATAGAAAGGATGTAAAACAAACAAAAATGTTTTTAAAATACATGGTAGTATATTTGTCCAAATTGCAGCTGTCTGAAATAATTTAAAGGTAAGACATATTTCCTCCTTCAGCCTAACCTCGTGATCTAAGGTTCTATCTTAATATGTTTATCCTATACTCATAATTTTTTGTTTGAGACACGACGAGAGGGGGGAGGGGACAGGGGCTGCAGCCATGAGGCCCGGATTCCGAATAGAGCTCGGCCTGTCCTATAAGGTTTTATTTTTCAACTTCTAAATTTACATTAGAATAAAGTATAGATACCATTAAATATATTACATAATACTTATGTTATATATCTTCATAATATTTTAGCTGCATACTTTATATATTACATATTTCGGTTAGGTATTAATGGTCACTTTAATATTTGACGGATACTCAGAAAAATGTTACCTGTGGTCCTTGATTTCATTCCACGGTGTGCGTCTGACTCAAATATATAATTTTATTTGGATTTAATAAAAATGATGTAATTCGTTTACACATTTTTCAAAAAGAAAAAAAAAGACTACTGTTAAAAATTATCTTGAAAAATCCTTCACACGATAACCTAAGCAATCTGGGATCACTGTACTATCCTATCGAGGAGAAAGTCCAATAAAGATCAGCATACAGAAATTGGTCTATCGATATCTTATGCTATGAAAAAAGCAAGGAGGTTAAGATAGGCGGGGAATGTAGCTCGGTGCAATGTAAACGAGGTGACCGAACGGGATGGATAGCATGTGTGCACCAGCACCGCCTTTGTTCGGCAACCTGATATATGAGATCTGATATATATAAATAGTCACGAGTTCGCGTCCTAGTGCCGGGGAGTCTGTGTGAATAAGTATAAATTATCTCACTAGAAATATTACTAAAATTAATAATGAAGAATATTGAAATTAAGGTTAGTCATTCTGTCAACTGAAAGGTTCATATAGGCCTGAAAGTATATTCAATCTATAAATGACTGTGAATTGTAGGACTATTAGTTATTATGCTGTTATTTTCCATTACAAAATGTAGAAATCGGAGTGAGACATTCTTTCAACTGAAAGTTTCAATTCATCTACATGGATTACTTCACTATTTACATTAAAAATACTGTACAAAAAAAAGAGGTGAAATGTTTTCATCTTTTTTAATAGTTCAATAGTAACGTTGATCAACGTTTTCCTTCTAAATTCTTCCTCAAAGTTTAAAAGACTGACTGGAAGTAATCCCTTATTCGAAGGCCATCGCTAAATTAGAGCTTGGTAAGTTAGCCCGAGCAAGTTGAAGGAACTTTGCCAACTTGAAGCAGGCATTGTAGCCCCGGCGAAGACATTGCCCTGCGTGTCCGTTCGCTCTAATACCTCCGGGCCGAGCAAGCCATGGGATCTGCCCCTTTATCCTGTCATCTTACTCAAACCTAACATAATTAACAAAAATTCTAGATCTGGTTATCAAATTAAAGTTGAAGTAACATGCTATACGGTTTACTTCATTTTTAAATTGTTTCAGTGCTTCTTGAAAGTAATAAATAAAGGAATTCTCCGTGAAGGGCCTATTTCCTAGGCTCATCAGATTGATTTAGAAAAAAGTTGTGGAAGCGTAGGAACTTGGAACATTATCAATTTTATGTCATATATATTTCCATTTATGAATGCGCAAACACATTTTCTATTACATGTTCATATTTAAATGACTTTGTGTAAGCATTGAAAAATTGAATGGCATGCTGTTCAAACAGTCAATCTGTTTTTACATAAGATGACCAGTTTTCTAAAAATAACCGCGGGAAGAGTGCGTTTGTTTGCTTTCGTATGGGCTATTAAAAATTATGGAAATTCTAACCATTTTCATTCTATTTTTCCTTTACTGAACGAATCTTCCTTATCATCTACCATTTCTTCCTTTTTATCTTTTGTATTCATTATCATTATTTTTTTTTGGCGAGTTTAGGAGTGTTGGAACTACAGTTTCAGTTCCAATTACTGGAAGTTCGCATTACTTATGTAGTATTCACTAGCGAGTTTAATTTTGGAGGAGGGCTTCAGCCCGAAAGCTTTTGTTTTCTTATATATATATATATATATATATATATATATATATATATATATATATATAATGATAATTAATTTGAAAAAAAAGAAAGAAACCTACCTATATGACATGGTGTTTAAGTGATTCTTGAAGTGCTATTAAATGTAATTACATGAACAATAATACTTTAAAAAATAGTTTTTAATATGTTTTTTCTTATAAAAAAAAAATGGTTATATGTTACTCCCCGTAGATCCGCCTTTGTTTGTATTGCATGTTATGAATATCTAAAGCACTTACCACTGTCTTTTAGTTAATAATGAAACACATGGCCATTAAACTGATTATTCTACGGTGATATCACAGCTTTATGAAGCTATATAGCCCTTATCAAGTTTCCCTTTTAAAAGATTACTATAACCTTCAGAAGAAACTTTAAGTGCCCTTGTATTAACGGATATCGCCGGCTTGTGCTAGATATAGAACATAAACTAAGCCCTAACGAGTACCTTCCACATTAATCTTACGAGGAAAATGAAGTTTTGTTGTCATGTTTTCGGCTAATACATAACTTTATATTTTAGTATAACTCGTTCGCCAATTCAGTACAAATGATATTGCTTTTCTAAAACTTTTATCTACGGTTACAATATCCTAAAAATGTTACTCACAAAACCAACGTACTGATTTCTTAAAACAAGCTTTATTACACTTAACGTAAGAAAGTTCACTTACTTTTACGATAAAATATCTGCCCATCAAATATGAAAATGATACCATAATTTTATAAACTATATTGCATTATTTGAGAAGTTATGCCACAAAAAATAAGTATCAAAATGTGAAAATACAAAAACGAAAACAAATATTTTGTAAAAAAAATATATTTAAAAAAAATCGCAAAGAAAGGATTTGAAGTGTGAGTTTAGAGAAGAAATTACAACTTGAGAACATTTTTTTTTTTTTTACATTAGGATTCATGTTCATCAGTATGAGTGTTACTAATAGAAAACAAAAACTCCTATAACTTGTCCATTTTAAATATTTCATTAAAATTGGGATGATTAAAATATCCTACCTTCTGAAGTTCAGCTTTGTCCAGATGGTCGTCACCGTTGAGATCGTAATAGGTGAACATGGTGCTTACAATATATTCTTTCCCAGTCCTGATCCTTTCTTCGCTGGTACTTTTTGACTGTTTTAGTAGATTGTCCTGAAAAATATGACAGTTAACAGGAATCCTATGGTGTGTTACCAAACAGCATTGATGTTTTCAGTAAAAATGATAAAAATATGAGGTGAAGTGTTTGATGGTGTGAATTTGTCGAACATGAACCATTTTGCATCAGATGAACTCTTCTTGACATATCCTATATTGTTTATTGACTTTACCTGAGCTTATTATATGTTTTCTTTTAGTTAAAAAATACGTAAGTAAGTAATCGCAAACATTTTTTTTTAAAAATTATGTTGTTTTTTTTAAATACATTAGCAACTGGCTCAGCGCATCCACGGAGTTTCAAGTATTGGAGTTTATCTCGAATCACACAACCGTGTACTCTCAATTTCATATTAGTTTCGAGTATTGGATTTTATCTCGAATCACACAACCGTGCAATCTTAATTTCATCTTATTGCTATATGAGTGAATCGTAAAAATCATAGACATTACAAACAAACAAACGCATATTAGCAATTTTTGGAAATATTATAGCTTATTTATATTGTTTGATTTTTGTTAATATGGACATATTGTGCTTAACACATAAAGTTTTGCTTTGTAAGCTAAGTAAACCGAATTTCCTTCTTCAAGTTAGACACATTAAACATAATATTCAACTATAAGTGTCAAATTTTTGATTAGGTAGTAGTACGTGAAACTTTAATAATAACAGAAGTTTGTTAATAAATTTATGATCAGAAACTTAATTTTAATTACAATGTAAAAACAAAAAAATTATATTTTTGTACTACAAGTATAATATCCACAAAACATTGAGAAATTCCAAAGCCTAAAAGATTGTAAAGTTATATTATTTTTTTTTGTAGAAAATTGAACTTAATTTTATAAATGGTGCTTTGAAGTGGAATAAACCTGATAAATACCAGAAAACTTTAGAGTATCAACAATACAATTGCTACAAAAGTGTCTCATTCATGGATGTGTTTCATTTCCTCTTCACCTAATGGTATCATCATTTTCCGTGAGCAATAATTTCCGGAAGAGATTAATGTAAAAATGTCATGAATTAAAAAAAAAAAAAAAAAAAAAAAAAAAAGGAGAACAAAAATTGACGTCAGGAAAACGTCAAAAATCGGATGATACTTGATAGGCACTTCGTCAAAATTGAGGTTTTGACTTGGCCCTACAGGTTTTCTGGTTTTCAACTGATATACAATTTATAAAACATAATACATAATTTTTCATAAAATATTTCATTGTTAACTTTTAAACCTTCTTTTTTTTCAGTTTGTATTTTTGGATGTCATGGAGTAATTTCATATTGTTTTTTTTTATCCTGATTATTCAGGAATAGGCAAACCGTTGACGGGTTATTTCGTTCTTTATTTCAGCATTTTGAAGACACAAGACTGTTTGCCTAAATTTTTCCTAACCTAAAATTTAAATGATTCTTGAAAAGTTGGTATTTTTTAATTATCCGGATAAAAGTTCGGGTTTGAAAGAACAAATTCTTAAACGGTTACTAACAGAAAGAAAAAAATGTAGGTGGTTAAGGGTATATGTATTGTTTTCAGGAATATTGTAGATTTACAGTCTTTTTATTTTAAATATTATTATTATTATTTATTATCAAATTATTTTAAATATTATTAGAGCTTTTCAACTTTAAAGAACTTAAATTTTAAATATTTTTAAAATCATATCTTTTTATCTGTGTTAATGAGATTATTGGTATGTGTGCTTTCCAATTTTCTAATTTTGGAATTTTGGCATTCGAATATATATATATATATATATATATATATATATATATATATATATATATATATATATATATATATATATATATATATATATATATATAATGTATATATATATATATATATATTTCTCTATAAATTTCAGAGTTTATTTTGTATTGGTTTTACGGAAATATATACTTAGTGTATAATGGTGATTATGTTGGTATTGTATAGCTTTAATATTGTATTTGATGAGTGATATAGAAAAGAAGGAAAAGAATTTGAATATATATATATATATATATATATATATATATATATATGATTTAAGTATAATTAAGCGCTATGTTTAAAAAAAAAAAAGAATAATGAGTGTGGTGTGTATCGAGCAGCCCTATACACTAGGGCAGCACTGCTTTAAATAAAGTATTTCTCTCTCTATTATAACTAATAATATAGTGTATTTATATTTTGCAGTAATACTCCATGTCACTTATGCATACCACTATGTATATATAATATACATCTACTGTGCAGAATGTTACCTTCATAATATCGTATCTCTGAAGGGTACATTGCACACTGTCGTCCAGGTGTTTCCTGTAGTCCCTTCTGTCAGCCGGGCTGGTCTGTGTTGTTGATTCTTCTGCCTCTGTTGTTTCTGTTGTTGAGGAGTTTTCTTTATTCATTACTAAATCCGCTATGAACAAATGAAACGATAGAAATTTTCAGATATAGTTTTAACACAAGCTTCGGTCACCATTTACATTTATCCAATCGTCCATTATTCATAAACACGTTTTTAAAATTGAATTTGCACTTTAAGTTGGATACATGGAATATAATATTCAACCACAACAGTCAACTTTTTGATTGGATAGAGGTGCGTGAAACTTTAATAATGGCAGTGGTTTGTGGTGGTTAAAAAAAAATCTCTCTCATGAAATTCATTTTAATAAACTAAAACAGCTAGTTATAACTGTTGTTTATCCTTTTTATTCAAAACGTTCCGATCCATGTTTTAATAAATAATGGGATCCTCTTCAGTTTTCGAAAAACAATACCCATCAGTTAATTATTGAAAGCAACAATTAAAAGTTTTCATACATTTTAAACAATAATCCCAAATTTATCAATTTAAAGCAAGTAAGATAAGTTTGGAATTATTGGTAAAATGTAAAAATGTAAAATAAACAGAAGCTGTTTTAGTTTATTGAAGTGAAGTTCATGACTTATTATCCGACTATAATTACTATATTAAGTTATAATATGCAGGGTGTTTCCGGGTTAAGTGTCCAAACTGAAAATATGAATTGAGGACCTCAAAACATGAAAAAAAAAATCCTATGAAGGTATGTCCGCAAACGCTTTGTTTAGAAGATAATCACACCTAAAGATTTTCATCGCTATAAATTATTTACGTTATATTATGTAAATAAAAATTATTTATTTGTTCCAACTACTTTATTAATCGACGGTAACATTAAATTCATATTAAATATTGTCCAAAGAGATTTCCTTGAGCATTGAGACAGCCTCAGCATCTTTCTTCCATAACAACAGTGTCAGAAGGGCACTGGATATGTGTTATTGTTTTACAAGATTCAATTACCCTTCTTCGTAAGTAATTAAGATCATTGACCAGACGTGTATAGACTTTTTGTTTAATGTCACTTCAAACTAAAAAATCCAGTGGTCTGGAGAGAGTGCAGGCCAAGCCACTGGTCCTGCACGGCCAATCCATTGATTGGATAATTATCAATTATTTAAATAGACAAATTTTGTCCCCCTCCAGATTGAAAACGCCTCAATGCAAAGAGTTTTCGTAAAATAAAATAGTTGTAGGTCACGATGAGATTATACTATTTACGAAGGTTCAGGCGGATGTTAATTATTTAATAAAAAGGGATCGGTACCACGGACTATTTATTTATGGAGCAAGGCTGGGTGCTTACTTCACGGAGGTTTCCTAATCACTTTTCGTTTGGAGATAAGTCTGAAATTTTGATCTGTTTATCTGAAATTTCCTGTTTCTTAGTTTTCTGATCAGAATATATTTTAAAAAAACCTATAGCAAAAAACATGGGTGTCTATAACTAATGTAATTTATACTGTCAGAATTTCCTACATTTTTTATGAATAATAAACTAATTGTACAGAAAAATAAAATAAAAAGATGATTTAGCAGTCAGGTATGAGATATTTAGTTTAATTTAGTAACATAGGATATGTAGTAATAGTATTATTGCTTCGGCAGAGAGCACAATGACCGTTAGAAACGATTTATTAATTCACATAAATTAAATTGAAAGAAATAGGAAGTCTTATATTTTGCATAACTACGATTTACAAGTTATTCCTATAGAGTGCGACCGCTCAAATTTAAGATTGGAAAATGAGATGAGATAAAAAAGTCAATCTTATTTCAGAATCCACAGATTGAAGGCATTTTGTCCTGGAATATATCGATACCATACATATTAATTCCCTTCTAAATTGAAATTAACAAGTAAATTTTTTTACTATACAAAAATAAAACTAATTTTGAATTAAATAATTACCTTTAAGTGAAGAATTAATGGCCAAATGTGTAAACAATTTCAATTACTATAAATATTGAAATTACTAGCTTGAATTTATTCTTTTTAATTATTTACCAACTTAATTCATTTATCGATTAAAATAAATTACTTTAATGGGTATCGATTTATTAAGTGATATAAATTATAAATTGGACTATGTTATTTTGTATATTAAATAGTAAAATTTATAACGGTTAAATTTTATTGTTTCTCGTACATTGCTAATTGAACTATAAATATATAATTTAATTAAATGAAATAATTGTTTTAAGCTATTAAATAGCCATCATTCGTGATTAATAAATATTCAATATACATATTTTGTCGCAGCTTCTTAATTTGCCCAATTAGATTATTAGGTCACTCCTTTAGAAAACAATCATAAACATTAATTAATGATAATTATATTTTAATCAGTAAAAAAATGATAAGAGGTAGACGGGGTTGGTTCTAGCAATATATATTAGTCTTTTTTTATACATTGAATCATAATAGATTTTTTTTTCGGAAATCGAGATAACTTTCAAAAACGAACATTTTTGTTTTCTTAAGAAATGTTATAGAACTTGCACTTGAGTGACTTCATATTAATGACGGACATCTGCTATTTAAAAAATCCAGAAAAAGCCAACTTATTTAACATAGCTTCAATTTTAACCAGAGAACAATTTTCTAGTGAACTTAAACATTCTTAAATAAAATATCAGAAAAAGTTGGAGTAGAACTTATAAAAAAAATTGAGTTTTTCTCCGTTTTCTGGAAATGACAGATGTCCTTCGATATAAGGCCACTCATATCTTAAGTATTCTTAAAATAATAATAATAATAACCAAAATCTTTTTCGACAGTTTTATTCAAATGAAAAATAAAATAATTATATTGTACCATTATCATAAACAAAAGGTTAATTTTATGGAATGTAATTTTTATACCTTTTTCTCCCTGAATCGTACATCAGGGAATTATAGAACATAGAAACTGCTGGTTTCCTCCCTTGTGTCCCCAAAAGCGACTATAGCTGTCTGATGTACGGCTGAGTCACGGGGGAATTCGAGGTCAAACTAAAACGCCTAATGAATTGCGCAATACGTTTTGTTTTCGGCATTTCAAGAGATACGCATATAACACCAAGTTGAAGTGGCTCTATGCATCCAACCGCCGTCTGTACTTCCTTGCTATCTTTCTATATCAGGTCATCAGAACTCAGCGATCTTCCTATATTTTTCACAGCCTACAATTTAAATATTCCATTCAACCCGACTAGATTTTGTACTTCCGACCTCTATCTACCTCCTCACCGAACTGCTACATTTGACAAATCCTTTATAATACAAGCCATCTGTTTTTGGAATACCATCCCTCCCGATATCCGACATGTACAATCAGTTTCCTCATTTAAATCTCTCCTTTTTAACCACCTACTCCTTTCCCAACTCGATTGATCACGAAATGTAGATAACAGAACTTTTTATGTTCCTCCAGAAATGATTTTGTTTATTTATGTTATTTTATTTCTCCATATTTGTTTAATATATATCTGTATGTTTTTAGTGTTTTTGTTCTTTTTCTTCTTCCAATATTTAAATTTTAATGAGATTGGTAAATATTTAATTTAATTTATGGCCACACAGATATTTTTCTGCATCTCTAACTTGTCCAAAAGGGACAACAGTCCAAGGATAGTAAAAAAATATTTCCATTTCATTTCATCAATTTTGTTTCCATAAAATGAACACCAACCAACCTTTTTTTGTTTGAAAACGGAGTTTAAAATTTAATCCTTTCCAAAAGCGGTCCTATTCAAGTTTCAGTTGACTTTTACTTACTATCGAAACGATCAGTGATTTTTTGAAAGTGTGTCCTTTAAATAAAGAATTTCTCAATTTTTTTTTTTTTTTTATGTTTTGTTTTTGATATTAGAATTGTAATAGAAAATATAGTTTTTCGCATTTTCTGAAAATTTGTCAATGATGATCAGGATTCACTTTGAAAAATAAACGACTCTTGTGCAAAACTTATAATAACTACTTATTGAACGATGGATGTTAATAGTTGCACATATTCTACCACAGTTAGTTTTCTTATATTTTAGAGTAAAGAGAAGTCGAGATGGGAGCATGTAGCTGTCACTGCTTTCATTCAAGCGGTTCTTCCTCCTCAGTATTTGACATTCAATTACCCTTCCTGGAAGACAGATATATAGCTTGCCAACATCAAGCTCCCTGCTGTGTGTAGTCTTGTGGAATTGTCAGCTGGAAAAAACACTTCCACCCTCTGACCTATAACAGCTGGGATTGTTCCAAACAGAAATGTATAGCAATCCTGGTGACGATTTTCCAGATTAAAACGAGACGACGAAGGGCATATAAATGAGGTAGAACTTAGCGGTGACTTTGAGAAGTTTGTTCTATAATTGTTCCTTCTCTAATCGTTTCAGGAAGTCGACCGCGTTCCTTTATCGAGCAAACTTCAAGGATTATAGTCATATTAAAGCTGTTTCGTGCTCCAATATCATTTCCAGAAATACATAGTAAAATTTCACAGGTTAAAACACCTTGAGATTACATTAGGGAATAATGTTATTTATTATTTATAAGGTCATTATTTATTTTATTTTTTTCATTGCTTTTACCTTTCTTCTTATAAATTTTAAAATGTATCTTTCTTAAAATCTTATCTATACTAATATACGGTAGTATAGATCCCTTTTCAGGTTCTCAAAGGATGGAATTTGATGAATGAGGTATAAAGCAAAAGGGAACGTCATGGAGAGTTGATATTGAGAATGTAAATTCCAAAACTTAAAAACTTCATTAGAACTAGGGTAAAACTCCTAAAACTCTTAAGGAAACTTTAAAATGCGTTTGTCCTATTTTAAATCGGGGTTCATTAATTTCGGATCTGTTTTGTGAGCAAAGATCTCTAACTTCAAAATATATATGTGAAAGAGCGTCTTGTATTTATTTTTCAGGACAAAGTAATTTTAAGATTTTTATTGTTGCCGCCATTTCAACCCAAGCACGTGGATCATCATCAGGGTATGTTATCAGCACTGAAGGTTTTCAAGTTATGAACAGTAATGGACACTATACACCTATGATATGTAGAAAACTCAACT